AGTGTTTTTTAATCAAGGCTCTTGGCAAGCACGCTAATTGGCAAGTTTGTCGCTTCAAACGGCGAGCGCATGATTGGTTTGTGCAGTCTCCTGGCAGATCCTAATGCTTTGGTTGGGATTGCCGTCGGCAAACCTGCCATATTTATGATGACGTTCTTGTCTCGGATCTGTAAAGACTAAGTGCATATCCGGGGGTGAATAAGCACTTCGGACATGTCAGTCAGAATCGTTTCATTCAGTTGAACAAGGTGCATGTCGGCAGTCAATGTGGCGCGCCTACCAGCAGAGCCTTCAGGTCAATAAAGTGCCTTCAACCGTTATACTGGTACTAAGCCGTTCCATACACTATGTATTGTGCTCGTGTGGGGTTCACATTTTAAAATGCATGCAGCGGGCTGAATTTGGCGTTTCTTTAATCCCTCTATAGGCCTGTGTAAGTGCTTTGCCTGCCTCACTGCTTATTTCTACGTTTTCAGAACATTGTATAGCGTATTGAGTGCCTGTTCGGTCGCCAAAACTCCTTCGCGGGATCTTATACTTGATGCTACGGTTGGGAAGGGAAGGGAAGGGAAGGTGATTGCGTGCTATGCGGTGTTATATCTGCAGTTTTCAGGGCGAAGTGACAATTTTAGGGACTGGCAGTCGCACCAAGGACCTTGCTACTCCACTCTGACTCAGTTCGGCATCTAGTTGTCCTTTTTGGCAGCACGCGACTGTACCGAGCGTAGTAGTGGATAGCCAGTGAACACAACTAGATTAGACCGAGTGGGCTCTCTCCCCACCGAGCTAAAGCCTAATTCGGTTAGCAGCGAGGAACCGATCGTGCTCTAGCACTCTTCGATGGGAGCCCTATGCCACGCCAATCACTTGTGGCTGATCTGTTCCTTTCACTGGATCACAGCGGGGCAGGAGCTCGAATGAGGTCGACGCTGCGAGAGCGTCCTTTCAATTCCAGGCAAGTTATCCTAGCCTTTCACTTGTGCTCTGGCATACAGACGACAGTCAAAGACTATGACTGGCGAACCGCTATCACGGTCCCAGACTGTTGCCCGTTAAGTTGAAGTTTTGTTTGTCTATTTCCGGTCCTTGGAAGTCGCATTGATTTTGTTTTTATGTCTCTCCCTTTTCGCAGGTCGAGGTCAACAGCCCGCATGAAGTGGAGGAGATATTTGACGCTGTCTCCTACCAAAAGGGGGCTTCAGTTATCCGAATGTTGAATGACTACCTTGGGACCGAGGTACTTTTCCATCCCCTTTTGTCCTGCCTATATAAATGCTGGATTTGCTCTTGGTCGTGTGGTTTAATTCGCTTTAACCTTGAGACTCCTTTTGCACAACTGAACTAAAACTTGCTCGTTAATTAGCCCTTTGAGAGAATTATCGCAAATATGACTATTTTATCCCCCAAAATGCAGGTGTGCAGCGATCAAACGGTCTTCCCCACCTGAGACCACTTCCCATTTTCTGGTGTTAGTTAGCGGGCAACCCTTCGCACGAACAAAATAAACCGCTGATTATATTTAGCTTTGATAATAAGTCTGCTTAAACTCTCCAGTGCCACATAACTTTTCTTTTAGGGGATGTGTGATAGTAAGACGATATTAAATATAAGCCCTTCCTTTGGCATCCAAAGGATGCTATGCGGCCTACAGGTTGGGTTTACAAGATGATGCCACGGAAGTTAACTCGCTAGCAATTTTCTCTTTTTAGATTGTCGCGCTTGTGACATTTCAGTATAGTGTTAGGCCTATCTTTTTGTGAACTCCGTTGCCTTCGCGCAGATGAAATTCAGAAGTGCAGATTATTGGGACTTCTTATCATAGCTTCGTGGTTAGTTCTCAGTTTAAAGGTACGAAAGTTAGTATCGGAAAAAAGTCAAACGGTATGCAATTGCTATAAATAGTCATTATTTCGTCGGCTAGGGGCAGATATGCGAGTACCAGGTCCCTGTTGGAAAGAGGGTCACGTTTTCACCTGAGCGGCAGTTGTATATGTCTGAGCTTTCTGACTCGTACAGGAGCCCATCTTCAGGGCCTATGTGAGTGCAACAACAAGCGGCCGGTCTTCTAGTCCGACCATGATGCAGGGCGGAGGCCGTGTCTATAACCGGGCCAGTATTGTGTTGTCTGATTCACAGTGTGCGAGGACGCTGCTCATTCTTGGTTGAGAACTGGGTCGCGTCATTTAGCTTCATCAGTGTAAGGCATAGCAAAAAGAGGGGGGAGTATATATCAAGTCCGTTTATGGCCTTAGTATGAGAGATGTGGACCCACAACAGTTATCGCCCCGTCTTATTGCTGACTCCCTCCCCCCTTACGTTATCTGCGTGCTTGCCAAGTCAAATCTGTTGAAAACATCCTGCACGAAATTTGCGGAACTCTTTCGTTATAGTACTTTAGCTGTTTTGCTAGAGTCGCCCGGCATGTTTTCGAGCGGTTAGCCAACCGATAACTGATCTTACTGAACACGAATCTTCTAAATCATTTTTTACAAAATGCTGGATTTCTTCTTGTTTATGCCACAGTTGGCCAGATTTACTTCTTTTTGCTGGGGCCTCCGGATTCCACTACTGTTGCCGATAATACTACTAATACATATTATTATCATGGTCGGTGTTATTTAGGTTATCAATACCTCCTGTGTCTGCTGCTGTAAGTAGTGACAGCACGGCGTGCTTACACATTTTATACTTCATCGCCCTCTCTGTTATCCATTCTTTCTGGTTTTGCATTGAAGGTTTTCAAAGCTGGTTTGCAACAATACATCAAGAGTCATCAGTATTCCAACACGGTCACCACGGATCTGTGGCGAGCGTTGGCTGAGGTCAGTGGCCAGCCAGTGAAGGACATTATGTCAACGTGGACCAAACAGACCGGCTATCCAGTCCTCTCGGTCCGTCCCCTTCCGAGCGCAGACGGCCAATCTCTAAGCCTCGGCATCAGTCAGACCCGCTTCCTTGCCGACGGTGGAAAAGAAGGTAATTTAACTTGTGACGACAGAATTCATGGTGCACATATAAGTTGCTTCCCAAACTGTCGCAAAATATGTTCGGTCATTACAAACTGAGCTCATATCACGATTTACTGGAGACGATAAAATCTCAACTTCTTAAATACGTAAGAGGCAAATTTCTGAAATAACTCGGTGGTTCATGCTAGTCCCTGTATTGCGGGCTAGGATTCCGTGGATCTCTCATATTTGCAGTGCTACTATTCACTTTTGTCATTCTGTCGTGATTTACTTGAGTCGGTTATCACTCGTCCATCCTTGCACTGAGGAGGGAGTTAATATTGTCTGTTATTTTTGCTTTATATGGTCCCACCTGAACCGACATTTTCAACTGAGCAAGCCTATATTCCACCATAGTGTGTTTGGAATAACAGACGGCATATCCACGAATGGATTCCAAGGTTCCATGAGTAAACGAGAATACTTTTCGAGCAAAGGAACGTCTTCTTGTTATTCTGAACTTTCGAACTTCTGCAAGAGTTCATTGCCCGAGATAGCAGCAGCAGCAAATAGGAAGCAATCATAGTGGATATAAGCCTGGAGGTTATTGCGCAGTTCTTTGTAAGCTGTTTCCAAATCGATGGTCGATTGATGGCTGGCTGGCTAGTAGCCCTTGTTGGATCAGGAGCTTCGCCGGATGGGCCTCAATCCCGGCAGCGAGGAGGAGAAGTTGGAGCAGAATGGTCGGGAGGGGCTCCTCCGTCATCAACAACACAG